CCCCGCGCCGCGATGGGGAGCCGGGCGCGCTCGCCGGCGCTGCTGCGCGGAGGGCGCTGACGCGGGATCGCCTCGCCGCGGGGGGGGCGCCGGCGCTGTGGATCTGCTGGGGCTTTCGGGCTTCTGGCTTGTTTTGTGCACACCCTCCCCCCAATCCGCCCCGCCGGGAGTTTTCCTCGGATTTGGAGACGTCTGGATGCGCCCCGAAAAGGAATTATCATTGCCGTCATTATTGCCGTTGTTGTTCCCAAAAAGAGGGGTCAGCCCCCGCGGCCTCCATGGAGCGGCTCGGTCAGTAAGGTAAGGGCGGAAGACGAGCGGGCCCCTTCCCCCCACTTTCTCTTTGTTTTTGTGGCTTCACTCCCCCCCCAAATATTTACCAAGGCTTCAAAAAAAAGCAAACAAACCGGAAAAGGCAGTGTGAAATCGGCGGCTTCTGCCCTCCTGGGGAAAAAAAATCAATGATTTTTGCTTGCAAAAAAAGCCGTGACTCCTTTCAAGCACTTGCGGCGGGGGGGAGAGAGAGGGAGGGAGGGAGGGGGCCGGCGCTTCATCTGCAAGCCGGCGCCCCTGGAAGGGAGAGGGAGGAGCAGAGGGCAAAGCGAGCGTGGAAACCACACGCGTGTACGCGCGCACACGTGTTTCGGGGGGGGCTCTCCACGCAGCAGGAAAACACGCTTGTTTTTTGTAAGGGTTTCTCCACCCCTCGTGCCCGCCCCGCCCGAAAGAAGAGGAAGTTTTGTCTAGACTGGCTTGGATTGGACGGCTGAATCGTTGAGTAATTTTAATTAATATGGGTGCCCGCTTGTTAGGAAGGAGAAGACCTGTGTCTCCTTTAAATGCCCCCCTTCCCTGCAAAGGCCTGGTTTGGACCCCTGGAAAAGTTCTGGAGGGTCTGTTGGGGCACCAGGCTTAATCCGGGGCTGGCTCACTGCAGTGAAACCAGGGCTTGAACTCCGTTGCACTTGGAGCAGGCGTGCCAAGAGTTGTGCGTCTGGAATGGGCCCTGCTTCACCTTTCCTCCTGCCAGCCAGCCAGCCAGCCTTCCCTGCCCTAACCCAGCGCCTGGAGAATCTTACCGGATGCATTTGACAAAGGACGCCTGACCCTGGTTAGCTGAGCTGGGTCCGGGGTCTCTCGGGCACAAGCCGTGCAGGCTAGTTGGCACAGCGCCCCGGGCGTTGGGGGGGGGGCTGGCTGGTTCGTGTGAATGGAACCTCTTGGGTTGAGTCGGATCGAACCACCGGTTTGCAGCTGGACCGGCAGAGCTCCAGGGGTTGGCTGGCATGCAAATGGGCCTGCTCGGTTGGGACTGGGAGTTGGGGAAGATCACGGGGGCTTGCATTGCGGTGGTAAGCGCGGGGTGAGCGTGAGAACCCAGACCCTGTGGTTCTTTCGTAGATCAGGCTGCATCCTGCCGAGGGGGCTGATGGAGCAAACGATGAATCAGCTAACCTTG